GAACCCGGGCCGCACGCATGCCAGGCGAGCACACTACTTCTTGAGCCACATCCCCAGCCCCTATAACTCATTTTCATTTCATCAATAATCTGGATTGAACTTAGAGTTTGTTTCCTTAGAACTACATTAAATATGAAAAATTATTTCATTTATTCAAGAAACTGTGTTATCTTAGATACCTCACTTTTTTTTCCATTTTTTATAGGTATCTCCTGTTCTGCTTTTTTTTTAAAAATAAATTTATTTATTTATTCTAATTAGGTTTATATGACAGCAGAATGCATTTTGATTCATTGTACACAACTGCAGCACAACTTTTCATTTCTCTGGGTGTACACACAATATAGTGTTGCACGATATGTGCAGTCATACAAGTACCTAGGGTAATGATGTCCAACTCATTCCACCATTTTTCCAGCCTCATGCCTCCTCCCCTTTGCTCAATTACAGTTCCTCCATTTTTCCCATTCTCCCCATCTGCCCCGTTATGGCTCAGCATSAACTTATCAGAGAGAAAGACACCTCACTTTTTTTAAAAAAGTATGTTTGTCAATGGATATATTTTTAAAATTTTATTTATTTATATTTATGTGGTGCTGAGGATTAAAACCAGGGCCTAATACATGTGAGGCAAGCACTCTACCACCGAGCCACTACTCCAGTCCCAAAACATCTCACTTTTAAATGAAGTTCTGGTACAACATTTGCTTAGCATCCATGAGGCCCTAGGTTCAATCCCAGCAACAACACCAAATAAAAAATAAAATCAGTTCTGGGAAAGCTAAATAATKGATTAATTAAACTTCAKGAATCTAAAAATTTTACTGATTTTTTTTGTTTTTATTTTTGGTRCTTGGAGTTGAACTCAGGGCCATTCAACCACTGAGCCATATCCCCAGCCCTATTTTGTATTTTATTTAGAGACAGGGTCTTACTGAGTTGCTTAGTGCCTCACTTTTGCTGAGGATGACTTTGAACTTGAGATCTTCTTGCCTCAGCTGCTAGGATTCTAGGCATGCATCATTGCGCCCAGCAAGCTTGCTTTCTTAAAATTTGAAATTGTTGAGAACAGGGAATTGTCCCTCATAATATTGCTATTTTTAATGTATATAGTGAGAAATTCAGAACATTTGTAGCTATGACATGGAGCTTTTAAAAATCACGTGGAAAGAATGACGTTTTTTCATACAAAAATTACTATAATTTATTTGACTGGATACTGAAGCCAACTTACAACAGAATTCTAGACTTAATAAAGTTTTTAATTTTATAAAATATATACAAATTTACCCAGTGATATCAAAGTTCTCACTAATACTTAACAATGAGGTGACAGTCACAAGAAGAGACAGGCAATAAKGTACAACTGAAGAATAACCCCTGGGCCGGGGTGTGGTGGCACATGCCTGTAAACCCAGCAGCTTGCAAGGCTGAGGCATGAGGATCATGAGTTAAAACTCAGTCTCAGCAAAAGCAAGGCATCAAGCAACTCAGTGAGACCTTGTCTCTAAATAAAATACAAAATATGGCCAGTTGTGGCTCAGTAGCCAAGTGCCCAAGTTCAATCCCTGGGACCCCCCTGCCAAAAAAAAGAGTAACCCCTCTGGAAGTGCTGGGAAGGAATACTGCCCAAATTATATTGTTATATCATATGCATATTTGAAAACTACAACAAATCCCATCATATGTACAATATAATGTGCCAATAGAAAATATGGAAAGGAGAAGAAAAAAGAGAATAACTCCTCTATGTGGCAAAGCATAGTACAAGGCTTAATTTGGACAGAAAAATAACAAAACAACAACAACAACAACAACAAAAAGACAAAGATTTGATGGGCATGGTGGCACATGCCTGGAATCCCAGAGGCTCAGGAGGTTAAGGCAAGAGGATTGCAAGTTTGATGTCAACCTTAGCAACTTAGTGAGGCCCTGTCTCAAAATTTTAAAAAAGGCTGGGTATGTGGSTCAGTGGTTAAGTGTACCTGGGTTCAATCCCTAGTACCAAAAATAAATAAAATTTAAAAATTAAAAAACAAAAAACAAAAACTTGGGGGCTGGGGTTGTGACTCAGTGGTAGAGGGCTTAACTAGCATATGTGAGGCATTGGATTCGATTAGCACTGCATATAAAATAAATGTCCATCAACAACTATACACACACAATAAATAAATAAATAAACTTGTAGTTTATAAACAAATTTGATATTTACTCTTCTTCCTTCTCTCCTCAAGGAAGAAAAGGGGGAAGGGAAGGAGGATGGAAGGGGAAGAAAGAGGAAAAGGAGGAGGAGAAGGAGAAAAACCCCTCTGGCATTGTCATCTTGTAAGCTCTTTTACTCACCTAAAATAAGATGGAATCTATCAGTATAGACATCCTCAGGGGACTTTACTGTAGCCCCAGATGATGAATCCTGACACATGGAAGTTGGTGTCACAGGCCTTGAGAGATTAGATGCGCCCTCATCTGGGTCAGCAACAACAAAGCCTGTGCTTGTAAGCCACAAGGCTGTAGCATGGAGAATAAGGGCCCAGGAGTTGTAATAATGCATTTTTGCATTTTCACTAGTCTCTGCTGTATAGAAAGCACCACCTAAAGAAAAATAAGTTAAAAAAAAAAGAGGGAATCAAACTGTTTCAGGATAAATAAAAGATTAGTTTACAATACATTTTCTCTTTTCTCTGTTTCAAGATAAAGACCATTTCTATCACTTGCAAAGTTCACTCATATCCAACCTTTTCTATCAGTTCCCTCAAGTCCCAAGGAAGTTACTTTCTGATTGTTATTTTTTTCGTACTGGGGATTGAACCAAGGGTGCTTAACCCCTAGAGCCACATCCCCAGCCCTTTTTTATATTATATTTAGAGACAGGGTCTCACTAAGTTTCTTAGGGCCTCATTAAGTTGCTGAGGCTGGCTTGGAAGTYGCAATCCTCCCGCCTGAGTCTCTGGAGCTGCTGGGATTACAGGAATGCACCACKGAATCTGGCTTTACTTTCTAATTTTTATCAGGATAGGTGAGTTTTGCTTGTTCTTAGATTTTATATAAATGGAATCATATCTACAGTATGTATGTGTCTGTAATTGACTTATGCTACCTTACAACATATTTAGAGATTCATTCATGCTGCTATACTTTCAAAAATACGTATTTATACACATACATATACATATTCCTTCTCCCTTTGTACCAAAGATTGAATCCAGGGGCACTCTACCACTAAACTACATCCCAAATCAGCGCCCCTCCCCAACTTTTTTTTTTTTTTTTGTGGTGCTGGGGATTGAACCCCAAGGCCTTGTGCATGCAAGGCAAGCACTCTACCAACTGAGCTATAGTCCCATCCCCCAAATCAGCCCTTTTTTATTATTTGTGTTGAGACAGGCTCTTGCTAAATTGCCCAGGCTAGTCTTGAACTTGGATTCCTTTGGCCTTAGCCTTCTGAATCTCTAGGATTATAGTCATGTGCTACCATACCCAGGTACATGCTATTATTTTGTGTGTTCAATAAAGTTTACTCAAAACTTTAAATAAGAATGCATATTATAGGGCTGGGGATGTGGCTCAAGCGGTAGYGYGCTCGCCTAGCGTGYGTGCGGCCCGGGTTCGATCCTCAGCACCACATACAAACGAAGATGTTGTGTCCGTCGAGAACTAAGAAAAAAAAAATGAATATTTAAAAAAATTCTCTCTCTCTCTCTGTCCCCCTCTCTCTCTCTCACTCTCTCTTAAAAAAAAAAAAGAATGCATATTATATGTATCCTTTTGGGACTTGCATTTTTTAACCTAATATTATGATTTGAAGATTTATTTATGTTGATATACGTATGTCATTCGYCTTTGTGGTTGAGTTGACAATAAATCAGTTTACCTGCATTTTGTTTCCATCCTTACGCTACTAAAAAGTACAATAAATACTCTAACATTTCTTTGTGTTAAATACTATCAAAATTCTAATAGAACTCAACAGGCTGAATCTAAAATACATATCATGAAATAAAGAGACAATAACAGCCAAGATGCTTTGAGATAACATTAGGAAGAGTAAGAGTGGCTACCAAATATCCAAAACATAAAATGGCATTACTAACTTACTATAAAATTAGATTCCTATCTCCTTCCACACTTACACATTCAGTTCAACTAAAGTTTAAAATGTAAAAGCAAAAAAAAAAAGTTTTTTTGGTGCTGGGGATCCCCCCAGGGCTTCATGTATGCTAGTCATAGCACTCTACCACTGAGTCACATTCCCAGCCCTAAAAAGGCAAAACTTTAAAGCTGATAGGTCTCATTCAGGTATCAGGTAATACACAAAAACACAAACCATAAGTGACTGATAATTAATTTTAAAAACATAAAAGGACAAGCTAAAGATTGAGAAAATATGTATAAGACAACACTACAAAGGAGCAGTATTAAAATGTATATAAAAGATTAATGAATCAGTAAGAAAGGGACAAACACCAAAGAGAAAACAGGCAAAGAAAAGATTATGATTAGGATATTTATGGAAAAAGCAACTTACAGAGACTATAAATATACAAAAAAGATCATCAAAGGAAAAAAAAACAATGAAATACTATTTCATAATCATAATGATAATATATCATGTTGGGAAGGTGGAAAGAAATAGAAACATGTTGTTGGTGGGCATACAAAATGGTTATAATCACTTCAGAAAGTGATTTGGCAATACCTTATGAGGTGATATGCATGACTTATGACCTCAGGAATGAACTCCTGGGTGTCTACTCTGAAGCAACTCTTGGAAACTCATCCTGTGAATGAAAATTGTTCTGAGGAAAATGCTTCAGATAAACATTATTTGCTAAAGAAGAARTTTTGGAAATGTTAGTTATTGTCACTCTAGGAAATACCTAATTATTTTACTTCCTTACCATCAACAGGAAGTTGGGAAGCAAATTCTGAAGGCAAAGTTAAAAGAGCAAAATCCTGAAGTGCAGCAAGCCAGAGTCTGCTTAGTGTGCCAAGATCTGTGTAGACCAAGTCAAGCAGTCCATACGATGAATTTGACCCATTTCTGACACTCTCTTCTGAATAGCTGGTAGTTTTCAAAGTTTGCTTGTTGTTTTTATGTCTTTGCACAGCAATTATGTAGACCTGTTAAAGATTAATTTATAAACAGGAAAATCTTGTGTCTGATGAAAAGGTGAGCATAATGAATTTGAAAAGTATTGTAATATACAGAAGGCATACATGTGTAACCACACACACAAAACTGGGGTAAAAAGATACACCTGGTAAATACGCTACCACTGTGTACTTAAAAAACCATGATAGCTACAAATAATTTTTCATAGCACTCTTTCTCACTAAGCCGGGTAATGGATGAATCTCAAAAGATGGCTTCAGGCAGCTATCTCTGAACTGAAAAGCTGAAATACTGAAAATGTTTTCATTAAAATTCATTTACATAAATGGATTTATTTTTTTTTAGAGAGAGAGAGAGAGAGAGAGAGAGAGAGAGAGAGAGTGTTTTAATATTTATTTTTTAGTTTTTGGTGGACACAACATCTTTGTTCGTATGTGGTGCTGAGGATCGAACCCAGGCCACATGCATGCCAGGCGAGCGCGCTACTGCTTGAGCCACATCCCCAGCCCCCATAAATGGATTTAACATGGACCACAGAATGGTAAACAATTAACATTGTACATAACATATATAACATGTACTGTCCCTTTACCAGCAACACTAAAAAAAATCTGAAAAATATAAGTTCATGATAAACTAATCTAGTGGCAAAACTGACTTAACTCATGTATAATGTCTAGATAGAATGAAGTACAAATACAAAAAATTGTAATATAGATATACTAATATGTTTGATTATAGAGTCTATGGCATTGCCCCAGACTTCTCAGATGRAGACACAGAATATATACCATAACAGTTTTTTTAAATCCTCCAAATTCTGAATTCCAGATATATCTGGCTCTAAGGATTTCAGATGAAGAATTATGGACTTCAGTTTCATAGAATGTGGGTTAGTCTTTATTTTACTGAGGAAAGAATAAGAGGAGTTAATGGGCTTAATCAAGAGCCCACAGACTTAAATTATTATAAATAACACCAATGAGCAAAGACTTCTTTCTGTTTTTTTTTTTCTTTTTTTTGGTATTGGGAATTGAACCCACTGAGCTACATTCCCAACCCTTTCTATTTTTTACTTTCGGGCAGGGTCTCAACAAGTTGCTTAGGGCCTCATTAAGTTGCCTCAAACTTGTGATCCTTCTGCCTTAGCCTCCTGGTCTGCTGGGATTACAGGCGTGTGCCACTGTGCCTACTCCAAAGACTTATTTATAAAATAGGTTACAGAATTTGTTTTCTCTAGGAAAATCATATGCTTTCAAAGCATAAAGAGTTGACTGTTAAAAAGACAATTAGATCCAGTTACTAAATGTAGGCAGAACTACTTCCTAACCAAAGTCTTGTCAACAGTAAATGACAACAAACATTGAGAGTTTACAACCTTAAGGCTTAAAATAGCACTATTGGAGAAAACCCTTTTGTACAGTTGGCTAATTTTCTGAGTTGCAATCTGATTTCATATATTCATTAAAATGATACATAAACCAAGACTAGCCATGTTTGATAACTATTCAAGCTGGCTTATATGTATATTCATTATACTATTCTGTCTGTTTTTGTGTATGTTAAAATTTCCATAGTAAACTAACAAATGATATAACTTTGCTCCTGATTAGAAATTAAATAAATATAATGTAAATATATTATTATAAGATTCCTTTATTCTTAAAAATGAGTGACTGCTACTTAGTATCTGAATGTCATTCTATGAAAGAGCATTAACAAACATTAAAGTATGTGTTATAGAGTTGACAGAACATACAAGCAGTTGCATATATTCAAGAACTGACTTCAATAAAARTTTATTTTCATTGACTATTAGGACCTTTCTCTGGTTCATAATTGTTCCTGCTTAAAGCAGCAGACAATGAGGACTCTTTTTTCTGTGTGGTGGATCAAACCCCCCTTGTACATGCTAGGTAAGAGAACTATTACTGAATTTTGATCAACATGTTAATTAACATATAAGTAAATGTCATGTTGGAAGTCTTTTTTTTTTTTTTTACAGTTAACTTTTTTTTTTTTTGGTACTGGGGACAGAACTAAGGGGTCCTTAACAACTGAGCCTTATCCCTAGCCCTTTTAATTTTTTATTTTGACACAGGGTCTTGCTAAATTGCTTAGAAACTCATTAAATTGCTGAGGCTGGCCTCAATCTTGTAATCCTCCTGCTTCAGTCTTTCAAGTTSCTGGGATTRTAGGTATGCACCACCATGCCTGGAGATTTACTGTTTCATAAAAGTTAATTTCAGTTGATATCCTAAGGTGTTTATTAATAAATTCCAAAATYCCAGTTACAAATTAAAAAGTACTAACCTCTGCCCAGGCTTTYAAAACAGCTAAGATCTCCATGGTAGAAGCACTTTCATTATATAAGTGACTTAGAGCTTCTTTTCCAGCCTGTATTTTTGTTAATGATGAAACCAGCAACTGATGAACTCTTCGGAGATCACTAAGGTCACTTACAACTCCACTTGCTATCCAGGCACTGCAAACCTGGTTTTTGAGAAAATCAAAAGTTAGATTTAAAAATAAATATTTCTCTTGTGAGTTTAGCAGAGCTCAATGGCATATCAGGAATCTAGTCACTGAAACCATCTTGTCATTGATATACCCAATAGAATACAGCTGGTAACAGTGATCAAAGTCAGCACTTCAAAAGGGAAGGAAGTGTAAGCCAGGAAATCAGTGCAACTTAATAAACAAAAGTGCTGCTTCGTAAATAAATTGAAGAATTTTAGATGTTACTAGTTTGGAAAAATAAAACTATGAAATCATGTCTTAATGTTTGGATTAACATTTTTAATTAAATCTTAATCTTGACTACTTCATCTCTCTATTTAAAACTAGACATTGTGTGGTACTGTAACTTGATTAAAAGATAAAGTACTTAACATACAAAACTCCAATGAAGAACTTTTTGGGTTGCTGTGGATTGAACCCAGGGCCTTATACATGCTTGACAAATGCTCTACCAGAGTTACATCCCAAGACTCCAATGAATTTTGATTCTTTTGATGAAAATGTATTTTTTTAATACTTATTTTTTAGTTGCAGTTGGACACAATACCTTTATTTTATTTATTTTTATGTGGTGCTGAGGATTGAACCCAGGGCCTTGTACACGCTAGGCAGGCACTCTACCACTGAAGAACAACTGCAACTCTGTTTAATTTTAAAAACAAAATTTATTCATAATTYTGCAATGCAGAAACTTTACTAAATTATCAGGCGTTGTCTATRTTTTTTTTCCAGGTATCATGGTACTTCTCTTTTTCTAGAGGAAATTCATTTGCTCCCCTCCATACACAGGTGGTCCCTGACTTATCATGGTTCAACCTAATGTTTTTTTGACTTTACAATGATACAAAGGTGATATGTATGCATCAGCAGAAACTGTACTTTGAATTTTGACCTTTTCCTGGGCTAGTGAGATGCACAACACTAGCCCTCATGATGCTGGGTAGCAGCAGGGAGCCATAGCTCCTAGTCAGTTTCACAGTAGTGAGATTTACTCTGTAAATCAACTGGCACTCTACATCTATATTTGGTAGGCTATGTATGTTAAATACATATTCTATTTAAGGTATTTCAGCTTATGATATGTTTATCAATATGCAAATCCACTGGAAGTTGAGGAGCGACTGTATTACTTTTTGTCTCACTTCACAGAAGATTTCAAGTAGTTAATAATAAGAACACATATAATGAAGTGATGACAAATTAGAGACTCAGTACAATATTTTGTACAGTTCTCTGATTATTGAAGGCACTCAAAGTTTTGTAAATACAATCTGTAAAAGAAAGCTGAGGCACTAGGGTGCAGTTCAATGTTAGAGTGTGTGCTCAGGTAGCATGCATGAGGCCCTGGGTTCAATCCCCAGCACCTGATTAAAAATTAGATTTAGAAAAAAGATTAGAAAGAACTGACTAAAATTAGGTTTTTCCATTATGTTTATAATTAATTTATTCATGACAGTCCTGCTTTTAATTATCTTATGTCAAGTGTTTGACAATCCACTCCAAGAAAAGTTTTTAAGACTRTGTATTATATGGCTCTTAGACATATCAAAAAAATGTTCAGCCTCATTTGAAATACTAATTCAATCTCTTATGAGATACCCTTTTTACTCTATCACGTAGATAGAAAAAAGGCTAAGGTGTACTTAGTGGTAGAGAGCTTGTCTAGCAYGCGCCAGGGTGTGGATTCAATTCAATTCCCAGGACCCTTCCCCCAGTTCCCTCAAAAAAGGACCTATGCAGAAGATCATAATATTTTTWAAAATTTAATCTCTCATTTATAATTTTCTAAAACATTTTTATAACTTTATTATTATTTTTTTTATGTGGTGCTGAGGATTAAACCCAGGGCCTCACACATGCACTCTACCACTGAACCACAACCCTAGCCGTAAGATCATAATATTGTAGCACTATTTAGTATAACAGCAAAAGACCAAAAACCCTATATGTCCATCAATATAAAACTGTTTAAATAAATTATGACATATTTATAGATAGRGTTACCATGCAATTATGAAAAAGGAAAAGGAAGTTCTCTAAACTTAAGAAAAGAAAAATGGTAAGTTGAGATCAATGAGAAGATAACCATGGCTTCAATCACTAACTGAACTGTTTCCTAAGACCATTTTTAAGCTGTGTCTTTTTAACCATTTACCTGACATGCTTTGGCAGTCACATCGGGTGGTGTCTCTGAAGTGAAGGCTGGTCTAAGTGCTGCTCCTACCTGAAGARAAATTATATGACAAATCAAACATCAATAAGAGAACACAAGTTCTCCTTTTTAACCTGATTTTAAAATCATGTATTTTTAATAGGTATTATGGCACCTGTTGGTTTTGCCTGCTCTGCATATTTCCCCTTATTTTTAGATAATGGGATTCCTAGTTTTCCTTAGGGGAACTATTTCTCCCCTACCTCGTAGTCCATGTGCTCCAGGGACCCACACTGGTATACTGAAAGCTCTTAAGACTTTTGTTGGGAGTACTGGAAAAGTAGTACTGTCTCTTTAAAAGAACTTGGGTACTGAGAGAGCAATCATTTTTCCCCCCTTCTCATGACCTGTGCTTTTTATTAATTTTTTAGTCTTAGAACCAACCTTTTCATTTATCAATATCCCATCACTTTAAGCTATCTTCGATATAGTATTCCTGCAATTCAGAACAATGAATTCTGAACTGCAAAAGAGGATTTATTTTTTGCACTTGAGAGTCATCTTAATCTCACTTAGAAAGACAAACCTCAGAATAAAGCCATGCAGAAGACAGTGGAGCCAACTAAAAGATTCCTGACAATAATTTTCCTTTTTCTGCCTAAATGAGTTGTAATTGTATTTCTAATACTTATAATTTTTAAAAAGATAAAAATATAAGAACTCCCTTCAATTAAACTGAATTATAATATTTTAGTCTAATATGACAGTTGTATGTAACTTCAATTCCTTCTTTTTGCTCTCTCCCTAAGTATGCACTAGCATTACTTACTGGGAAAAAGGTATAAGATTGTTTACCAACTAGTGAATTGCTCTGGTCTCCTTAATTGCTAGTTATCACAACTTGCCTCTAAATCATAATGAGAGACATGCTTGGATGAATGCTGTTAGAGGATTATAAGACAGATAAGGATTTTGTTATCTTCCTTTCTCTTTCTAGCTTTTACAATGTACCAAACACAATCAGTTAAAAAAATTACAATTTTTTTTTAAAAAGGATGTTAAGTATAACATWCTATTTATTCTAGGAGTAATGACTTAATGTAATCTGGATATTTGGTGTTATATTACTTATTCAGACATTTTGTATAAGATTTCATTTCTGAAATCCTCCACTCCCTCAAATTACCAAGGTTTTAATTATGAAAATTAATCCTTAAAGTTATAAAATACCTATTTTATGTACCATTTTGCTTGTACTTGAAACTTTATAAACTAATAGCTGTCAGATTTCTTCCACAAATGTATGTATTTTCTACATGGTGATGATACTGGTGATATGTTAGAAGAGAAACATCCTCACTTATATAATTTGAAAGGTGACATGCAAAATAGTTGTATAGACATTTTATTGTTGTTTTTAATTAAAAAATTTTTCTAAGAGAAAATGCTTACATTGGCTTGATACTGTTCTAGAATCACATGACCTGGAAACTCTGGTTCTGGAATAGTTGCAAATCGCCGAATAACAACTAATAGTGTTTCAAGGCCAGAAAGACGGAGTTGATCACTGTGATCTGTGGCAGCCATAAAAGCCATGCGAATTAAGTCAGCAAGATGTAACACCAAAAAGTCATCTACAAGATTAAAAAAATGCCTTATTAAGAAATAGAATACGTTGGAACTAAGATTTATGATGTGATAATTTTTCTTCCTTAAATTCATAGGATTGGGCTGGGGTTGTGGCTCAACGGCAGAGCGCTTGCCTAGCATGTATGAAGCCTTGGGTTYGATCCTCAGCACCACATGAAAATAAATAAATAAAATAAAGGTACTGTGTCCAACTACAACTAAAAAATAAATATTTAAAAAAAATTCATAGGATAGACTTTCTTTTTCTGTAGTTCTGATTTGATTTACTGCTTTGTTTTACTCTGCAACAAATAAAGACTTTAAAGCTGAATTTATCTATTTATTTATTTATTTATTTTTAAAGAGAGAGAGAGAGAGGAGAGAGAGAGAGAGAGAGAGAGAGAGAGAGAGAGAGAGAGAATTTTTAATATTTATTTTATTTAGTTCTCAGTGGACACAACATCTTTGTTGGTATGTGGTGCTGAGGATYGAACCCGGGCCGCACGCATGCCAGGCGAGCGCGCTACCGCTTGAGCCAYATCCCCAGCCCTAAAGCTGAATTTAATATGCTCAAATGCATACACACAAAACTACTTCAAACCAAATAATTAAATACAGTTATTAAGAAACCAAAAGCAGAATTAGCATCCTTTAAAAGAATGCTAATAGTCTCAATAAATATTTTATTCAGACTTTCTGATAAAAGTACATTACTTTGTATTTAGGAGACTTTGGGCTTTGATGAATTAAACAGTAATTTATTCTTTTTATATCAAATTGAAGCCAAGGGCCTTAATGTTGCTTTTAAAAAAGCTTTGTGGCTGTGTATGGTGGCACATGCCTGTATTCCCCGTGACTTGGGAGGCTGAGGCAGGAGGGTCACAAGTTTAAGGCAGCCTCAGCAAATTAAGTTACTTAGTGAGATCCTGTCTCAAAACAAAAATTAAAAAGAACTGGGAATGTAGCTCAGTGATAAAGTGCCCCTGGGTTCAACCCCTAATACAAACAACAACAACAACAACAACAACAACAAAAGCTTTGTGTGACTCTACATGTACCAGATTATCTTATTTTACATATCTTGCTAAATACACAAATCACAGGAATATTAAAAAAATCTCTAGCTACAGAAATGATAAAATTCCTCTTATGACTACAAAACATCCTTTGGTACAAAAGTTTGGGGAGAGGCATTAGAAAATTATTTAGATGTTCTAATAATATTTCTGAACACAGCTAACTTTTACCCAGAATATATCTGAGACTAATTCAAAGAACAAAGTTATAGCTCACATTGGAGAAATGTAGTCAGTGCCAACTACTATTCCATTCTATTATTTTATTTATTTTTGTGGTGCTAGGGATTGAATTCAGGGCCTTTCTCATGCTACATAAGCATTCTCCCACTGAGTCACATCCCCAAGACCTCACTAATATTTTGTTTGGGAGCACAGAAATCAGTAAATATCTATGACATAATAATTCTACACGGATAAATATCTTGCACAATGCTCATCCCAAATAAAAATCTTAAAAGATGCTTGCTTAAAAATAATTAAATCAGAGATGTCTRATTCATACTCAAGTGGTGACAGCAACATTCTGCTTTGTAATTCTTTTGTCTGATAAAGAATATTACTAGGTTACTCATAAAAGTGCATTGTGACTTTGAATAATTATATGCTTACACGAATCCTAAAAATCGGACACCAAATCATGAACACATACACATTTGTAGGTAAAAATAAAACTGAACAAAGTCAAAATGATCTTGCAATTAGGCTTAATTTACACTGGTTCAAATATTTTTAGGTAATATTCATGACACTGAAATAAACTATAAGCAAAATTGTTAAAAGTTACAATTCAGAAAATTCATTTTGGGAACTAGCCAACACACCTTACTTCCCAAGAATATGATCATTCTCTATAAACTTAACTCATTGCATGTGCAGTCAAAAATGAATGCAAATTTAAGAAGCTTATCATGAAAAATGTATTTAAACATTAAAAAAGGTACTAACCCGTAGCTTACATAAATACTGTAATCAAAATTCATACCTGATTTGGAAGGATAAAAATAATYTTTTGGCTTTATTGTTAAAATATATATGAAAACCATAAGCAGGCAGAATTTCTATGTGTATCTCTTCGTCTTTACATCACTATGCCACTTACTTCTTGAATCCCTTTTTTTCATTTCTTGTGCTAAAGCAATGTCAAAATGTGCACTGTTTGCATTCTCACACTGGTTAATTATCCTACAGACACATTCAGCAGCAAAGACTCTAGTAGCCCATCGGGGATTGGTAAAAGGATGGGGTTTTTCATCACTTCTGGTGGTCAGGACTGAGGCATCATCAAGCTTATGACCTTCTTCCTCTTGCATCGTATCCACACAAGTTATAGTTGCAAAATCTTTTATCAAGGGAAAATACACAGGATTACAATCAATTGGAAGGTATATATTTTAAAAACTTTCATTTGTTCTTTTTAGTTATACATGACAGCAGAATGTATTTTGACCTATTATTCATACATGGAGTATAAATTTCCGTTCTTGTGGTTGTATATGATGTGGAGTTACACTGGTCATGTATTCATATATGAACACAGGAAAAAATGTCCGATTCATTCTGTCTTTCCAATTCCCAACCTCCCTCCCTTCCCTTCATTTTCCTTTGTCTAAACCAAAGTACTTCTATTCCCTGCACCCCTTCTTGTGTGTTAGTATCTGCTTATCAGAGARAATATTTGGCTTTTGGCTTTTGGGATTGGATTATTTCATTTAGCATAATAATCTCCAGTTCCATCCATTTACTGGGAAATGCCATAATTTAATTTTTATTTATGGCTGAGTAATATTCTATTGTATATATACAAAAGGTATATATAT